CTTAATTTAAGCAAGTCTAATAAAACGAACTGTCCCTTGTCACTGAACTTGTTGAGAGAACTACTGAATTTACAATTGAAAAGTCCTAGGAAAGCTTCAAGAAATTTCACTAAATATCCTCTACATTTGTTTTATCATACAAAAAAATTCTTATAATCATTAAATCTTTTTACTTTATATTTATTCTATTTCTTTCCTTAAGATAGCACTTGAGGCATCAAATAATTAGAATTATAAGAATACAGTGGAGGAAATGGATGTTCTTTAAAAATAAACCATGGGATTGGATAGAGTTGTTTAAAGAGAAAAATAATCGGATTTATAAGAGTATTTGCTGTAAAGTACAAGTAAAATGGTTTATTAGAAAGATATAAAGCTGTATTGGTTGTTAGAGGCTATACTTTAATGTATGAAATTGATTGCTTGAAGCTTTAGGTTCGGTTGGTAAAACGATCACTTTTTGGGTTCTTTTATCATTAGCAGCTGATATAGACTTAAATATATAGAAATTTGATGTCAAGAATGCCCGCACACCCCTCCCCCTCCCCCTCCCCCATTTTGTTTAAATATAGAATAAAAGAGATGTAAGCTAAAAAAGACATTGAACGAGTTGAAATTATCCCAAGCGTTTGGCTAGAAAGATTCACTAAACAATGCTTGACATATGATACAAATACAATCAACGAGACTATTTATTATTTATAAAATACATGCCTCGAAGGGAATCTCATTATTACTAGTTTATGTTGGCGATATTATTATAATAGGAATATATAGAAATTAATGAAAAGATTACTCTCAGAATTTTAAGTCAAAGAATTAGGCAAGCTAATATATTTCCTTGTTATTGGAATTTACATATTCTTGACATAGAAACTTTTTATTTCAACAAATAATGTCTTTTTGAAAGATATATGTAAGCTAAGATGCATGAATGTATATGTAATTCAATAATAAACTTCGAGATGCTATGAATCATAGAACGATGGAAAAATCGTATATTAAATGCCTATGAGACGACTTATTTATCATACCTATGCTATTAGTTTGGTGAGTCAACTTTAAAGAATTATTTGTTAGGTCAATGTATATGATTCTATAATTTTAGAAAGGAACCCTAGGTATTCTATTCAGTGATGATCTAACTCGTATACAAATTCATAAATTATACTGGTTTTATAGTCGATAAGAGATTAACCTCAAGATATTTTATATTCTTTGGAAGCTACCTCATTTTCTGCAGAAGTATAAAAATAAAGGGGGGGTTTACATACATAGCACTCAAAATTTTAGATTTTCTAAATTTCGTACTAAATTCAAATTTTATATTCATAGCACCCTATTAACTGCGTCAACTGATTCTGCTGGACCATCGATGGCATTGCTTGTGGAAAACATCAAGACACACCTATGCCCTGCTTGCCTACAACATCCTCTATTCATAGGCCGTGGGTCAATAAGGTCATCGAATAGTAGATGACGGTCTTCATGTGCTTCCAGATTAGACAATCGATTTGATGACACTTCTTTCAAATCAAGTAGAATGCATCTAGGTTGGAAGGATCATCGATGTAGTACATGCATTTCAGTGCCAAAACCCACATCTAGTCATCTAAGTTATTTGTTTTCCATTTCTCCCGGCAGCTATGAAGGCTGCTTTAGAGAGAGAGAGAGAGAGCAAGTCATGTGGTGCTAAGTTATTTGTTTTCCATTTCTCCCGGCAGCTATCAAGGCTGCTTTAGAGAGAGAGAGAGAGAGAGAGCAAGTCATGTGGTAATCGGATAAACAATCTAATCTAATCTAATAACCCCAATTTCTTCTCCTAAATCGCCTTTGGTGACATAGAGCCATTGACTAACCTTTATCTCGAGTCTGACTGCCCAGTCTCAAGCCGCTGCTGGCTTCGATTGCCTTCACATGGATTATAAATCTCAAGTCCCCAAAACGTTCATCTTCTCTCTTCACTCAAATTGTAGTTCCAGCGTAGTAAATTGGCCTGAGGGAGGCATCAGGAGTGGACATCAGAGATTGCAATAAATGCTTTGTGAAGTTGCAAGTGGCATGAATGATCAGCGGTGAGTGGCTTGATAGGGTTATAGATTTTAAATAGAATAGTATTATTATTATTATTGTTTTTATTTAGATATTCTAGTTGTTGTGAATTTAAAATTTAAACTTTAGCTGTGAAATTTATAAAAGTTAAAATTTTAAATGCTATTTATGTAAATCTCTCAACAATAAATTGTAGCAAAATTTAATGCAGAAGCTAAGTTTAGATTTCTGGTGCTAGGAATCCACGACTTCTTATGGCTAAAAGATGTTCGGGTAGATTTAATGCTTTATGGAAAAGTCTTTTGAATGACTGTTATGATAACAAATAAACTATTATTATTGCATATAATCCCATGCTTCATGATCGTACAAAAGACATTTTTGTTGATGGACATCATATAATTTTAAAAATTAGCTAGCAAGCCTGGAATAAATAATATTCATTTATTAAGAGGAGCTGTGAAATGCCCAGAACATTTGCCTCAGCCAGGTCTTACACTTGGCTATCACCCTCTTCTTTGTCTGATTACTTCCTCTCCGCTACCACTTTTTGAATTTTTGGCTTTGACATTTCAATTGAGCACTATTGAGTAAAATGATCAATATATAATAGATACACATGATTCTTCAGCATATTGAAGTTAAATTCACATAGGTGATGTGATTGAGATGCAGGAGAGGTTGATTTTACTAGGATCCTATCTAATGGAATCAACTGATGAAAATATATGATTAAGAGACCCTATCAATATGAAAAATATTGCCCATCAAACTATGTACCTGTAAACATGTCGAGCCATTGTTCTAATGACACTATAGAGCATTAACAAGTTCCAATGGCCAAAGTTGCATGAGTGGGCCTATGGCAAAAGATCAATCCTTCTAGTGTCATTTTCATCAAGCTTGGGAGCATTCAATATATATATATTTTTCACTTAAAAAAAGGAAATTGAATGATCGATTAAGCAAGTAAACTTAGATCAATATTTGAAGAATTAGGCCACAAATTCTGCACCTCAAAACATGGAGGGCGAACAATATCAAATTAGATTCAATGTATTGAGTATGGTTGTCCTTTGATTTCTCTTTTTTGAGTGATGGAAAACTGGTCACCATCATCAATGAATACGCCAATTGGAAAGAAGAGATCAAGCACTTTCTTAGAACTATAGAATTTTATTTACAATTTCAACAAAATTTTCTTATTTTACTATAATTAGTTTCTAATTTTTTATTTTAGTTTATTTTGTTTTATTTTTATTTTTTTTGAAGGAACCTATCAAAATTTTGTATAATTTTTGTATGTAAACCATTTTATGCTTAATTGAAATATTGTTAAAAAATGGAAAAAAAATTCAAAGTCCCAAGGAATGCTCATCATTGCATATGCTTCAGTAGAGCGAGAGTGAAAACAGTAGGTTGTCTGTACAATAGCTACCTAAGCAACTTATAATGAGTGAGCCCATGATGGGATAGCAAATGCTGGTTATGATGAGTGTCTGTCCTCTTTTTCAGATGTCCTTTGAGAGCTAATTGATGAGTGAGCTCTAAAGGGCATCTAGTATGGATAGTGTGCTTGTTAAAATTCTCTAGAGGGCTCATCATCTAGCCTTAGGAGGGTAGGTGAGTAATGTTACGCCTGTTCCTGGACCGGCCCCTCCTCAACCAGTCAAAAGCCAAAACAACGACCCCCCACAACAACAGTTAAGCCGATCCTATGAGGGGGAAGAAGCGTAGTGGCATTTTGCTACGGCAGGAAAAGGGCAAGGAGCAGGTGGGATCCACAAGAGGCTTAATTACATACTCGAGAAGGAGAATTTAAAGGAGGTTTTAGAGGGAAAGTGGGAAAGAAAAATTTTCAAATGCTGTAGGAGGATTCTGTTAAGGGGTGGAACCTAGTGTTTTTTTATTTTTTAATTTCTGTTAAGGGGTGGAACCTAGTGTTTTTTTATTTATTTTTTTATTTTTTTTTTTGTGCATAATTTCATTGGTTGCTCTTTTCTTTTCTTCCTGTGGTATTTCTAGCGACGTCTAGGGTTGCAAGGGAGCCGATCTACCTCTCAGAAAGTAGATCACCATTGTAACTTGCCTATTGCTTTTGTTTGTCTGTTAAGATCAGCTCTCTTTTGAGTTTGCCTTCTATCTCTTGTTGTTTCGTGGTTGTTTGCTCGCTGATTTCTGTTCCAGAGCATATCAGTGAGCAAATTTGGTAAATCAAGACTAGGCAATTCCATTGGGTACACAAATAACTACCCAACGCTCTATACTTTATCAAAGCACTTAGGCAAAAAGAACAAATCATTCACATTTACCAGGTCAGAGGTTGGGGACAACATTTTTCTATACAAGCTAAGAAGTACAAGAATTTCCTTGCTTGAACTAAAAACATCGCCTTTATCTCCTTTTACAATGTTGTCATTTGCTTTGCTTGCTTTTTGACAAAGAATTATAAATGCACCCTGAGGGAAGATCTTCTAAAACCTCTTATTTCTTTGGAGAAAGCTAATTGAGCTATCATTTCTTTCGAATATGATTATTAAGTTAAACCCGAGTGCCTTCAATAGTTTATGTATGCTGAAAACTGGCTATGCTCTTGTTAATATTCAGAGCCCAAATTTTTTTGTTGGCAAAACATGATTAAGAAATTAAAAACACAAGATATTTTTATATTTCTAGTTAATTCTAAATGCGTGTCTTGATTCATGTTTGGAAAAGGCAGTGCCAATTGCATTAATTTTTCTATGGCTTCTCATTTTTCATTTTAGTTCTATTTGAGTGCTTTCACATTTTATGCTGTACTTATGGAATTGGATTTGTATACACATAGTGGATATTATTATTTTCTAAATAAATTCCTGTGAGGGTATTCAGTTTTGGGCTACTTTCTAAAAGGTTAACAAGGTTGCCTCTGCTTTATAGTTGCTTGCTTATGCCTATGCTTTTTCTAGGATCCTCTTAGGAGCCTATTTGCCCTACCAAGGTCTCATTTTCAACAAAGCTGCCTGAGTAAGAGGTTTAATGTTGCATGCAGCTTCTTCAGCACTCAGGCGGCCAGCACAGCAGGCACTCCACCTCCAACCCCACCTCCGCCTCCGCCTCCAGAAAAAACCCATTTTGGTGGACTTAAGGACGAGGATCGCATTTTCACCAATCTCTATGGCTTGCATGACCCTTTCCTCAAAGGCGCCATGAAAAGAGGTGACTGGTATCGGACTAAGGATTTGGTGCTGAAAGGATCTGACTGGATAGTAAATGAGATGAAGAAATCTGGTCTGCGTGGTCGCGGAGGAGCTGGCTTTCCATCGGGCCTCAAGTGGTCATTCATGCCCAAGGTATCTGACGGCCGCCCTTCCTATCTTGTTGTCAATGCTGATGAGAGCGAACCCGGAACTTGCAAGGACAGGGAAATCATGCGACATGATCCACACAAACTCATAGAGGGATGCTTAATTGCAGGAGTTGGCATGAGGGCTACAGCAGCTTACATCTACATAAGAGGAGAGTATGTCAATGAGCGCTTGAACCTCGAAAAGGCCAGGAAAGAAGCCTATCATGCCGGCTTCTTGGGTAAGAATGCTTGTGGCTCTGGCTATGATTTCGATGTTCACATTCACTATGGAGCTGGTGCTTACATTTGTGGAGAAGAAACTGCTCTATTGGAAAGCCTCGAAGGGAAACAGGGGAAGCCTAGACTTAAACCACCTTTTCCTGCGAATGCTGGATTGTATGGCTGCCCGACCACCGTCACAAATGTAGAGACAGTCGCAGTATCTCCCACTATACTTAGACGAGGCCCTGAATGGTTCGCGAGCTTCGGTCGGAAGAACAATTCCGGTACCAAGCTGTACTGCATTTCCGGCCATGTCAACAAACCTTGCACCGTGGAAGAGGAAATGAGCATACCATTAAAGGAACTAATAGAGAGGCATTGTGGCGGCGTCAGGGGAGGTTGGGATAACTTGCTTGCTATTATACCTGGTGGATCTTCCGTTCCTCTGTTGCCGAAGCACATCTGCGACGATGTACTGATGGATTACGATGCACTCAAGGCTGTTCAATCTGGATTAGGAACAGCTGCTGTTATGGTGATGGACAAGTCCACAGATGTGGTGGATGCTATTGCAAGGCTATCATACTTTTACAAACATGAGAGCTGTGGTCAATGCACTCCTTGCAGGGAGGGAACTGGATGGCTGTGGATGATTATGGAGAGATTGAAGGTTGGTAATGCAAAGATTGAGGAGATAGATATGCTTCAGGAGGTATCGAAGCAGATTGAGGGGCATACCATCTGTGCGCTGGGTGATGCGGCGGCATGGCCTGTTCAGGGGCTCATCAGGCACTTCAGGCCCGAGCTGGAAAGGAGGATACGAGATAGGGCTGCACGGGAGCTGCTGGAAGCTGCTGCGGCATAAGCTGGAAGCTGTGTTAGATTTCTGGAATTCAAGTCTGTTCAATAATGAAAGTTTTTTTCTTACTTTGGATTTGTTTTGGGGGTTCCTTAATCTAAAGGGATTTGGAAGAAATAACTTGGTGCTTCTATTATTGTATGATTTTTAGAAGGACACATCTGTTCTCTTGAGCATGTTAATGCTTTTACCTCGTTAGTTGTTAAAACTGAAATCTATGGAATATTCTTGGTACAAAATGAGGAAAAATATTTGTATTTTAGGAGCTTATATCATATGAGTGTTAAGTTGGAGAAAAAATTATGTACGTAAGACGTTGCAGTGTTGTATACGTCAGGGAGGTTATTCAGAGGGTATTGGGGGGTTATATCTGCGTTATACCCCTTGTAACCTCCTTGTAACATTCCTGTAACCTACCTGTAACTGATAAATATATGAAAACAGAAACGCGGAAGTTACTAGAAGGTATAAGTAGGTTACAGGTTGGTTATAGTGAGGTTACAAGGGATATAACAGGGATATAATCCCCCAATACCTTCTGAATAACATTCCTGACGTACGCAGCGCTACGTACGTCTTACGTATGCAAATTTTTCTCGTTAAGTTGAGCTTGAGCTATTTTTAATGTGAGTTTGATTAATTATTGAGTTTGAATTTGAGCTTGATTTTATGAATTAGTGGCTCTCGAGCAATTTTTTATTATTATTATGTAAGAGAATAAAAAGATTTCAATTCTTGCATTTCATGGAAATAGAATTAAAAAGTTTTATCTGAGATGAGAAATATGTAAGCTTGTAAATTTCTCAAAAACCTCTTATTTTAAAAATTTGGATTGTAGTATATTTTTTTTTAAGCTTATTTTGTATTAATATGTTTGGTTCTTACATGTATCACAGAAAGCAGCCCTATTTAAGGATTTAGAACTTGAAGTTCATATTTTTAGGGGCATACCACCCATGTCATTAGGAATACCACTCCGTCTATCTCTGCCTCCCAATGCTTATCTTCCATTGCTGGTTTCATGGCCGTATTTCGCTCCTGAATTCATGCCCGAAACCTTCTTTATTTTCTAGTATTTTCAGATCTCATTTTATCTGTCTGGTACTCTTGTAATTTGTCCTCAAAAATATCACTTTTTTGTCTTTCTGAAACACAACGCAAGTGTAGGGATGTAGTCGCGAACATCCCGTTTAAAGGGAAAAGTTATTAGGTCAGGACTCTGGAGTTAAATGGTGTGAAGTCACGTGTTAAGTGAAACCAATAAATTTTAATACTGATCAATCGAAGTATATTGTGGTAAGCTCGTTTGACACGTGGCGCCCCACAATTGGACTGCGGACGTAAATTACGTCCAGAGTCCGGATGTAATATTTGTTCGTTTAAAGGAGCGTCGTCGATCTGTGAAGCTACTCCAAATGAGGCCTTAGTTATTATTGAATGGAGTATGAAGCTTCATTTGCGTCACGAAGCACAGAAAGCAGAGAAACAGAACGAGTGTCATTTGGAGGAGACCCTCGCTCAGCATGTCGCAACCATCACAAGTGCAAAGTAGCGGAAAAACAAAGTGTTTCAAACTAGAGATGAGGTGCTAAATACATAAAGGGATCTCTGGAAATGGATTTAGGGCAGGAATTAATTCGAATGTAGGTTAAATAATGGCAGATGATTATTTTGGATAAAACAAGGCCGCATATTTGATAAATCTGGATTTCATAAATTTTGGCTGTAAATCTCGGGTACATTAAATCCATTGAATTGGAGGATTTACGAGATTTAGAGGAAGAGCTATGGGGTTTGTTCTACATAGTTATCAATTAGTTATGCTGAATTTATAAGATTTAGTAAATTCGTTGCCAAACAATTTTGAATTTAAAATATTCAGGATTTAGTAAATCCAGATTTATGGGATTTGCTAAATCCTAATAACCTAAATATCATTTGTTGTGGGACTGCCTCTAAATGGAGCTCTTTTCTTTAGTGCTTATGTAAAATCTCCTAATTTTTTCTTAACATCCTACCCACTTGCAGGGTGTAAAAGAGCCTAACATGGAAGAGTTGAGGTTCTATTCATGTGTGTTCGACTCATTTATTTAATAGCTGTGTGAAATTGGTTTGTGTGCCAAATTAGCTCGTAACGAGTCTCTTCGTGTTCAGTTCGATATTACTTGAAATTGTTTGTGATAGGTCGAAATTAGGCTTATTGGGAACTCGACTTGTGATTGCTCGAAAAAAACTCAAAATGAACGTAAGTAGTTGTATTCTTTGAATTTTAAAATAGAAATTTATTAAAAAAATTAAATAAAAATAATAAGATACATACAAATTTTATCAAGAAAAAAGAATAATTATAAATTATAATATTTATTAGATTTCAAAATTTAACGCAAAATAAGTGAAACAAAATGAACAAAAGGCGTTTACAATTTCAAAAATCTATTTGTTTCGGACGCAACAAGCTACGTCTAGACAACGGACACGATGCTCATGAGACGATTTTTTCCAGAAATGCAGCGCTCCAAATTGAAAAAGAAAAAAAATTACATAAAGGAGCATTTATATACATACCACCCAATTCCTATTTATTTCCGTATCTATTAGTGTAAACTCATACAAATGGGGCTAAAATATAACATTTAGTTATTTACTGAAAATGAATTCTTTCAATCTGATTTTAAAATACAAACTAGTTGTTTACTTGTATGGATAATTAAGGACAAGCCACCAAAAATATTGTTATTTACTTGTTAACTACCCAAGTGATTTTTTTGAACTACATGTATTTACGTGCTTATATGTTGAGTAATTAGGGCGAAGAAAAACAAGAATCAACACAAATCCAGAAGAACACAGAGAAGAACACAGAGATTTAAGAACACAGAGATTTAACGAGGTTCGACAAAGAGACCTACGTCCTCGGGAGCAAAGCGGCAGATTTTTCACTAATCCAGAAAAAGAGTATAGGATACAAAATCCAATAAACTAGGGTTATAAACAGATATATTTATAACCCTAGAAAGAAAAAAAAAGGAAACCTTGAGTGCAATATGTGATTATCAAATTACCCATGTACTGCACCCCCAACCCACATAAAGAAACTCCCATGATTTGGACAGAATCTTTCGCTCCAGCATCTGTCCCTTATATGGTGTATGAGTCATACCTAACAAATCTCCATCTTGGCAAATATCTAGCCCCTTAGGAGAAATACATCATGGACTTTCTTACATACCAGAAGTGGGTTGGGCCACCATGCTTCTCTAGCAACTGCAAACATTCAACAAATCCAAGCAATGCAAAAACTTGTTGATAGTAATTGGCTTGGTCAACATATCAGCTGCATTTTCATCAGTATGAACCTTCTGCAACAGTATCTCACCAGAAGCAATCAATTCTCTGATCTTGTGATACTTAACATCAATGTGTTTGGTTCTCACATGGCACACATGGTTCTTAGCCAGATAAATAGCAATTTGACTATCACAATGGAACTAAACTCCACCTTGCTCAACGCCCTGTTCATTACTAGCCTAACAAGTCATAAGGATTCTTTTGCAGCTTCAGCTACTGCCATGCACTCAGCTTCAGTTGTAGATAATGCCACAATAGACCGAATTGTTGATTTCCAACATATATGCTCTCCGCCGAGAGTAAAGACAAACCCAGTTGTAGATCTTCTGTCATCTAAATCACCTGCATAGTCTGAATCAACGTACCCCACAACTGAAGGATCATCCTGCTGACTGCCAAAACTATATCTATGTCCTACCATACCCTTTAGATACTTGAAAATCTACTTGACTGCTTCCTAATGCAGCCTTCCAGGTTTAGCAATGTATTTGCAGACTTGACTAACAACATGAGCCAAATTAGGATGAGTACATACCATTTCATACATCAAGCAGCCAACTGCACTGGCATATGGAACCTTTGCCATGTCTTCGATTTCTGTATCTATCTTAAGACACTGTTCTGAAGAAAGTTTAAAATGACTTGCCAATGGAGTGCTCACAGGATTTTTTTTTCTCATCTCAAACATTTCCAGCAGCCTCGTTGAGATAAACATAATCGCTTTGAGCCTCTATCTCGATTGAATCTCCATTCCAAGAATCTTTTTTGTAGGACCCAAGTTTTTCATGTCAAATTCCTGGCTCAATAAAGCTTTCAAACCACAGACATCATTCATATTTTTTGTAGCAATTAGTATATCATCAACATGCAGCAATAGAAAAATAATAGAACAATCATCAAGGCTCTTCACATAAACACAATAATCATACTCACATCGCTTATAGTCAATATGAATCATGTAAGAGTCGAACCGCTTATACAATTGTCTTGTAGAGTGTTTCGTCTTGGAGACTGTTTCAACCCACACACCGATTTCCTTAACCTGCAAACCAGATGCTCTTGTCCAGGTTAAGTAAACCCTTCTGGCTGCTCCATATAAATCTGCTCCTCTAGATCACCATGCAATAAAGCAATTTTAACATCCATATGCTCCAAATGCAAATCCCAAATAGCTATTAATACAAGCACTACCCTGATTGAAGTATGTCTGACTGCAGGAGAAAAAATTTCATAATAATTTTTCCCCTTCTGTTGTGAAAATCCCTTTACTACTAGTCAAGCTTTGAACTTTTTCTCTTCTTTTTCTGATACTACTGGTTTCCTTTTGTACACCCACTTGCACCCAATAGCATTCTTTCCCTCAGGAAGCTGAACTAGCTCCCATGTGCAATTTTTCTGCAAAGACTCCATCTCCTCAACTATTGCACCCATCCATTTCTCTTTCTCCTGGCTAGTGATAGCTCCTTAAAAAGTGGTTGGGTCATCACTGCTGATGAGAAGTGCACAAGAGACCAAGTCTTCATAACCCAATCTGCTAGGAGGTCTTATATTAGTGTGTCTCCGTCTGTCTCTGGCTAGATTATAATTCTGCAAATCATCTGGAATGGAATCATCAGGTGTTGGGTTTGAACATTCAACTCTCTCGGTTATGAAAAACTGGATGTTGTTCTAAATCCATCTACACTACATCTGAACTGGAACTGTATCCTGATAACTTGTC